CTCTTTGTTCCTAAAGCAATCATTCATTTATATAGGTTTTCATACTCTAAGGCAGTGTTTCCCAACCTTGGGACGCCTCTTGCGTAGGGAAAGCCCCTGGTGGGCCGGGACAGTTTGTTTACCTGCCGTGTCCGCAGGTCCGGCCGATCGCATATCCCACTGGCCACGGTTCGCTGCTCCAGGCCAATGGGAGCTGCTGGAAACAAACTGGCCCGGTCCGCCAGGGACTTTCCCTACACAAGCAGCGTCCCAAGTTTGGGAAACACTGGCCTAAGGATGATGTTACATTAGATAGGATAAGATGTATGAGGGCTATAAAACCCTCTCGCTTCAGGGGATAACCAATCTCTAGCTGATAGGTGTTGAGAAGAAACTTCTCCTGTGAGCGAGTTGTCCCATAATTGTCCAATATGGGGATTCTTGCATCTACTTCTGACACATCTGATAAAGGCCACTGCTGGAGACAGGATTCTGAACTAAATGAACCAATGGTCTGAGTGTGACAATTCCTATGTTTCTCTGGTGCAAATGGTCATAGCTTCATAATGGAGCTATGAGAATTTATATCAGCAGAGGATCTGCCCCATAATATTTTCTAAGATAGCTTATTGAATAGTCAAAATGGGTAGTCAAGGCTACTATGCTGAGTTTTGTCCCCTAAAATCAGCCAAAAGGTCATAGTCATTTTGAAACCGACGTCCATTCTCCAGCTCCTCTGCAAAGAAAAACAATTTCATGGTCAGTAGAGAACTTTTAGAAATGGTTTTAGAGAAAGTCGTATATGTCAGCATTCATTATATCTTCTGAATAACAATCTCACACTAATTTTCCTCTCAGGTTTCAGTTACACTGATATCAAAGCAATTGCATATGACAGGAAACTATGGCCCATTACTCTCAAAGTGATTTTTTTTAACTGTAAAAAGGAGTAGTAGTGGGGATTTCATGGCTGTTTTACAAAGGCAAATTAGTGCTCCAGAGAAATACGGGCCAGAACAATGGTACCAACACTCAAGAATACAACTTTGAGAATTCTGAGCTTAAATGAACCATAAAAGGCCTTTCTATGTGTATTCAAAGCCATATGTGACAGGAAAGCAATTTACCCACTATCTCCTGGAACTCCCCTGCATTGCTGGACAAGAACAGATGCTGTGTGTCCCCAAAGGAAAGTGTAGGGTGGAGCGGGTCGGGCTATGGCCATACCATCTCCCTGCATCTTCTATTCCCCTTTTTGTGCAGCTTGTGTCCGAAGAAGCAGTTCCTGCACTCAGGAGATCACAGAGATTGCAGTTATGGCAAACCAATGCACTGCTCCTTGTGCCTTTTCCCTCATGCATTGTTTGCACTAGCTGAAAGCTCACAGCTGTCCAATGTGTGTGATCAATTTAAGGTTTGCTCAGGTTGAACAATTCCCTGATTAACCTGTTCCTTTTGCCACAGATTTGAAATTCCGAATCTACAGCTTACACAGCTCAAAGGGGAAGATACAGGGGATAACAAAAGTTCCTTACTGCTGTAGTGAGAAACAGACCCCTAAGCAGATTCATACAACTGGAAGCGTATTTCCCATTATTAGTGCATACAGTAACTCCTCATTTAACATCGTCCCGGTTAACGTTGTTTTGTTGTTACGTTGCTGATCAATTAGAGAACATGCTCGTTTAAAGTTGAACAATGCTCCCTTATAACGTTCTTTGGCAGACACCTGCTTTGTCCACTGCTTGCAGGAAGAGCAGCCCGTTGGAGCCAACTGGTGGGGGCTTGGAACCAGGGTGGACCAGCAGCTCCCCTATCAGCTCCCGTAAGTTCCCTGTGCAGCAGCCGCCCAGCTGGGCAGTTCAGGTATCCCTCCCCCCACTGCTGTGTGCTGCTCCTGCCCACTGCTTTGAAGCTGCTCCCGGGAGCCTCCTGCTTGCTGTGCGGGCAGTCGGGGGAGGTCTGGCAAATAAAAAAATTCCCTGGAACCTATCCCCGCCTATTTACATTAATTCTTCTGGGGAAATTGGATTCGCTTAACATCATTTCACTTAAAATAGCATTTTCAGGAACATAACTACAACTTAAGCAAAGAGTTACTGTACTCATATAGCCCCCTATGAGTTATACTAGTGTGACTAACCTGGGTGGTTCTATTTGCAATGTCATTTGTCAAAAATAACACTTCCTCTTACAAGTCACTTACAGGAACAGCTATTGTGACACCACTGCATAGACTGTCTGTATTTCATCTCCTGGCCCCTTGCCAGATGCTGCAGTGTTATCCACTGTACAATAGGCTGCATTTGGGTCCTCATATGGGCTCGTTGCAAGTGAATACAACACTTCATTTCTTTGCAAGTCTTTGCTGCTGCTCACTGCGTACGGGGAACCTGTAAAACAAGTACTCTGCATCAAAGAGTTTATGAATCTCACAGAATTAAAATAAAACATCCAACTAAAATAAATCAAACAACTAAATAAAATAGTAATTATCTCCCTTTGAAAAGGACGTTAAATAAATTCTTCTCTCCTACTCCCAAATAATGGAATTTGACTCCATTCTATTCAGCCCAGAATTAAGACTTGTGTTGGTTACTGTCTACAGTACCTCACCTCTATAGCTAGGAAAACGATTCAGAATCACTTAGCTGCTAGGTTCTTCTATGGCCCCAGCACTATTCTGTCAGAACACACAAACACTGAGAACACATGATTCCCTCTTAGCACCCCCGAGAGAGCAAGAAGCATTGTTCTAATCATTTTACTGAGGAGAAACTGAGGCATAGACAAATTCTGTAACTTGCCCAAGGTCATAGGGACAGGATGTGAGAGAGCCAAGAATTTAACTGAGATCACGCATATCCTATTCCAGTGCCTTAATTGCAAGACCAACCTCCCTAAAGAACAACTGTCTACTTAACCAAAACTAATTTGATTAACAAAAAGTTACTTGTCAAAAAAAGCACTGATATTATCTGAAGTTTAAAAACTTAATAATGTGCAAAAACAGTCTAAGAAATCCATAGTACACAATTCTCAAAATGTGCTAAGTAGACAATCATTTCAAAAAGGTTTATCCAAAATTTAATGCTCACATTCATCTCCTGGAATTTCAAGAGCAGCCTGAGCTCTAAAATAAGAAGATTATGGAAGAATCAATTCAGTCATTTCTATCTGTTGGAAAAAACACTTTAAAAATGATACTAATATTTCATTGGTTATGTCCATTCAGGGTCGTACCTGGGAAGTTGTGCAGATGGCTTTCCTGTAACAGATAAATAAAACACACTGTAAAGTTTCAACAGTTATAATATTCCTGCAGATCTTA